GCCCTGTTGTCAGCTTTAAGTCTATGTTAAATCTAGGTTTTCCATCGAAATTCAAACCCTACATCAAACAATAGAAATAGTAATGATAAAAAGGTAAATTATACACCGTGAAAAGGTGAAAAAACTTACTGACGTTTCGGATGCTAGTTCTTCGTCGGACTAGGCGAAACGTCAGTACGTTTTTTCATCTTTTCACGGTGTATAATTTACCTTTTTATCATTACTGTTTCACTAGTTTTTAGCTAGTTGTCTCTCAATAGAAATAGGGCGTGGTTGGTCTTTAATTTTTAGGCCAATCGTCAGTTAACTGTTATTAATTTAACAAGCGCTGGCCATAATGTTTTCAATCTACATTCTGATAGGTAACCCATGACTCCACTCGGAGTATTTGTACACTAATGATACAATAGGCTCGTCGCAGTTAACGGTCACGTGTCTGTACTGGTGAGCAAACTTTTTGTTTCTATTTCAAATTGGTGATTCTTTTTAGCTACTTGTAAAGAACTGAATGAAACGATGCGTAACCAGTGTGTTACGAAATGCAGTTTTATTACGATGTCTGGTTGTAGAAAGTCAACCAAGCAATCAATCTTCATTTAGTACCAAATTTACAAAATTACATATACTAAACTACTAGAATACAGAAAATTGGTACAAGCCAGCTGTAATAGTCATAGGCTAAACGAGACAATTGGTAAAGAGCAGGGGCGGCGGAACCGGGGGGGCAYTCCCCCCCCACAAGATATTGGTTCGCATGAAATATAAATGCATAGTTTCGATTTGTGTTACTGTTATTAAGTTATTGTTGTGATTTTTTGCAGTCCCCCCCCAAAGATTTTTTGCAGTGTCCCCCCGCCCCCCAAAGATTTTTTTTGTTTTCTGAAGAGTGTGTTTGCTCACCAGTATATTTCACCCATGGGAATCAAAATGTTCATTCATTTGCTCTCAGTGAATTAATCAGTACGTGATTGCTTAGCTGCAAAGGGTGTTTTAACGAGTTATAAATTGTAATATTAGGACATATCGATTATTTTGAAATAGTTTTCGTGTTCTTACCAGGAACAGGTACGACAAATCTAGCCTGAAAAAGATAGGAAAGTTATGCCATTAAAAACAAAGAGAGATTTTCTGGAAAAGAAATGACTTAGTTAATAACTGTTTAAGACAATATTGGAAGTCAAAATTATTTTAGTTTATTTCGTTTCATTTCGTTTCATTTCGTTTCATTTTCATTTCAGTTTCATTTTATTTTATTTTATTTTATTTATTTATTGTTTGTTTTTACTTTGTCTTTTTTTGACGGTTAAATTGCTTTTAAGGATTGGCAAGTTTTAGAAAAATTTAACTAAAAAAACTGATATTTTATCTACGGTAAATCGTGAAGATCTCTAGAAAAAACTTTGAATTTGAAATAGTACATTTATCTAACCCATCACATAGCAGTATAATTGAAAAAACGCGCATTAAGTTGACATATTTTAGATATCATGCCAAGAAAAAATTTTTATCGATGTATTATTGATAGTATATAATCCTTTGTCAGAATTGTAAAGTTTGTCGAAGATTAAAGTCCAAAACCTCAGTCAAAAAATTATACTTTGCATAGTGTTCAAATTAATTATATAGTTGATATCGTTTATAGCTTATATATTGAACTAGTTTACTCTTTAGTTTTCTTTCGAAAGATGGTTAGTCCAAAAAAAGTCCTCAGATCTTCCTCGAAAATTGAAGAAGAAGGGATATAAGAAGAGATTATATACTTGGAAAAACAATTTACAATTTTGAAAATGAAATATAATGATGTCGAAACGTACACCGCTATTTTGCAATTAGTCCTCGAGCGCGAATGGCCTATGAGTCAATAGCCCATGAGGCCGAAGGCCGAATTGTTTTAGTCAAATCCAACTAGTTGGTCAAATATTTAGATGCAAACAAGTCTTGAATTCAAGTTAAATTCACTTTTCGCTACTAGTAGGCTATAACTTATAGCTTAGTAGTAGCTCATCCAAATGAGAATTGAACTTCTGGAATTTCTGTTGAAGACTCATGGACTCTTTAAAAAATTCTAACTGCTGCGTTAGGATACGAATTAGATGATAGCATAATATAGCTAAACTGACGTAAAACGCAACTTAGGAAAAGTAGAAGAAGTGCAGAAAAATAAATGACCAAAGAGAATGTGCAAATTTGCATCTTCCTATCTTTGTAAAAGTCACATATTCAAACTTCTGATGTTTAAAGTGAATCATTCTTTGTTATAAAGTTTAAATGTGTAGTTAAATATCTAGAAATATTACTATCTTCTACTTACCAAGAATAGGATAAAAATGCCGAGAAGAGGGGAAACGCCAAGATGAAATGAGAATCTAGACTCCATTACATTGTCTTGTTATGTACTCCTATTTAAAAAGGATACAATATACATGGAGGGTTATTGAAGTTGCAATGATAAAAAAACAATTCATATTCAGCTTTGAAGGTTATAATGAATAGCGGATTGGGCGGCAGGTGGTTGTGTGTTTACATATTCGAAATATGCCAGCTGAGATTAAGTCAAGATTTAAAATTTTTTAAATAAGCAGAGAGAGAGAGAGAGAGAGAGA